GTGTCAGGATTAACCAAGGGAAGGCTAAACATCTGTTGCCCAATCACGGCATCTGGAACATCTGGCACCAACGAACAGCAGTAATCTAACAGCTGACCTTTGACATTACCCCCTTCGACTTCTCTTCCGCATTTACTTAATTTTTTCTTCCCAACCCTAAATCTATTCCCGCATGTCTCTAACACTGACCTTGATGAGCTGAGGGTGCCGTACAACTCTACCGGTTCATCTGCATATCGTGGTGGTAGAAGCTGCAGCTATCATAGCACACATTCCTCTTTTCATAACCCTTCTGTCAACTGTATACAGAATGCAGGGGTGTGGGCAGAGATGGATTAGACAGCTCGATCCAAATCACAATAACACATTCATTGACTTGCCGCCAATGTTCTGAATAAGTGTGTGTGTGCACTGAAAGAGGCAGACTCAGCACTTTCAGCCTCAGAAAATTGTGTTTTTGCTCAGGTGCCTTGGCAGCCTTGTAGTAAATTGTCAAATCAAATGCTGAAGGATGAGGAAGCAGGTAGGGAGAGGGGCACAGAGAACCCAGCCAGGTTCCATCATGTCTGGTGCTGACACAGCACACGCTGACTGCTACTGTTTACACACACCTCGCTATCCTGAGAGGCAAGTGTGCTGACTGCAGAGCTGAAAATCCTCACACACCAAGCATGGTTGCATTGTGTGTGTGTGTGTGTGTGTGTATTATGATTCCTTTGCAAAGACACAAAGCCATGGGCCCTAACAGGAAGCATTACACACTCCCTTTATAATGTGTGTGTGTTCCAGCCCGACTCCTGAACTTCAGTTGCACACACACACACACATCCTTCCTGAGTGATTATTTTAAGCTCTGTGTGCAATTTTAAATCATCTCACAATAGAAAAACATCAGAACCCGTCTACATTTCACCAGCACACCCTGACAGATATCCACAAACACACACACACAGAGCGAGTAAACAATGGCATTGAGTGTTTGATTGACTTGTGGTTGTCAATTAGACGAGGGGGTGTATTGACCGAGTCCAAGTCTAAACGGATTGTTAAAAGGATAACACACACAAAGTCGTAAAAGTAATTCTAAGTAATTAGTTTTAAGACGTTTTCCCACATCCTCCCAACCACACAAGGCTGAAGTGAGGGCACCTGTAGCAAAGGGTTTAGTGTTACAACTACTATTACACTGCATCCATCTTCCCCGTTTGTTATTTCTCCATTTCTTCTGCTTCTCACTGTATCATAGCAGAGATAGAGAAAATCTCAGCCACTATGTCACGTGACTCCTCTGATCCACCTGATTAAATATACATCAATTCATCCACAACTCACACTCACAAAAAATATAGGCCAGACACAGAGCCTCACAAACACACACACCAACTCACAAACCTCTTTTAGTTCCAACCCTCTTTTATATTGTGCGCAATTGAAAGCAGCCCTTTATTCATTTTTTACAGGTACTTGAGTCCTCTGAGAAATCAATATTGTACCTACAGAGCTGGAAAGTTTACCACTCTGCAAAATTAAAATAGCTTAAAATAGCTTAGTCTAAAAATCAAGAAGAGTCATCAAGCACATCATCAGATTGAACGGCCACCTCTCTGTATTTCTCTGTCAAACCACAAAAACACCACAATCAAAACCTTTTATCTGTGGTGGTAACCATCTGCAAAGGCAAATACCGATTGGCAGCTATCTAGAACCACTTCAGATGATGAAGCAGAGCAAAAATGTGCTTGAAGAATTTAACATCTGTCAATTTTCTGAAAGACTCACCACTCAAACAACATGGTGAACTTGAAGACGGGTGAAAAGGCATTGTGATGGCAGGAAGATGTGCATTGAATGGATAAATATGATGATGGAGCCTGTTAGTAACAAAGCTCAGAGCTTTCTGGATTCAATTACACATAAATACTTACTTAATGCTTACTGAACTGAAAATGGCAGGTGATAAGATCATTCCTTAACTCTATTTCAGCAACGTGTTACCAACCGCAGTTGTTGCAACAACCCTATCCCTGTTCAAATGTGTCTCACCTTCATTCTTTGTCTTTCTCTCTTATCCTCTATTCTATCTCACTTTTAGTTACTCTGTCTGTTTCTCTCTTTCTCCACACATGCAAACACTCCTTCTTCCTGAGAAGTAGGAACATTCTTTGCATCAGCCAAAATCCAATATTAAAGTATCAGCACTCTGTGTGAAAAAGGACTAAGAAGGGGATAGTAGTATTCAAGCATTGATGTGCATTAATAAAAGCAACATTCTTCAGTGCCTGATCACTTTACCATATATACTTTAAAGTTAGTTTTTTTTCCTTTTCTAACGTGCAGGAGGGTAGGCAAAGAAAAATAGAAGCCTCATTGAGGTTAAATACCTATGAGTGGCTTTTGTCAGCTGTAAATATCCAGCAGCAAGCACTAAATGAGTGTTTTTAAACTTTAAAAACATAAAGCATCAACGTCCCTTTGAGTATTTTATTAAGTGTTTTATTGATGGCTGAGCTGGAGGTACATCTGCCAAACGACACTCGAAATTATAGTAATTAACATTCCTTAAATAATCAGGCAGTCAATAAAGTGCTTGAGTAATTCTGTCGAGCCTCTGTCTTTGTGAATGTTTAAATGTTAACACGAATCATGCGCCTCCTCTCCTGCTGCAGAGCTTTATGAATGTAAGCAATGAGGATTTATTTTACCCAGGATGCTGCAGTGTATGTCAACAGAATGCAAAGACTACGCCTGCTTCCTGATTAGAGCAGAGACCTACAGGTAAATGTGTTTCCTCAGCTCAGTGGACTGAAACAATTGAGATTATTAAAACATTTGAAAATAAGACAGACACAGGTTAACAAATAAAAGGGAGACAGATGTGACGTAAAGACGACGCTTCATGCTGCTTGATACCCTCCATTAGAGAATCTTTAACAGCAGTGCACAGGGTAATGACAGACTGTGTGTGTCTCCTAGTCAAGACCGACTGCCTGGAATGTGAGAGCAGACATACAGTGTCTACTGACGACTCTCCACAGTTGGAAAAACACACACACCTCAAACAGTTATGTGGATGCACAGGTTTACCCTTTTATCCGTTCTTTCCTGATAGGAAAGATGGAAAAACATGTGGATTGAGTGAGGAAGGGAGAGGTAGTCCAGCACAGCCGTTCACCAGGGAGCAGTGAAGTACCTGACAGGAGGAATCGATGCTGAGGGTCGATGGACAAACATTTGAGTCCACAGTCTGCCAAACACAGCAAAAGCTCTCAGAATGTAGCACAGACAGAAGGCTTTACACAGGCTGCCATGCATCAACAGCAGTCTACCCGGACACTAATGTTACTGTGGCGACAGCTTAGTGAGTTTGCAGATGGGCAGGTAAACAAGAAGAAGCGGTTAGGAAGGTGTAAGCCTGGATTGCTTTGTCCATTTGGTAAATTAACCATTAGAATATGCCACCAAATCAAAACCCTGTCCAGATCACTGTGTACAAACAGAAACTGGATGGAGTGGAGTAATATAACAAATGTACATGCTCCCATACAGGGTGCAAGGCAATCACTGAAAGGTTTAAGATACTAAAGTAAACTGAATCACATGATGTGGCTTGCAAACTCCTCAAATCTCAACTCAGGTGAACACCTATGACTATCTTCTGGAAGAATCGATAGAGTTTCAGAAACTTGTTGAATCCAAGTCATGGGGCACTGATGAAGCTTTGGCAGCTTTTGGTGGTTCCACACCTTACTGCACTGTACTATGTTTGTTTTTATGGACCTTTAATTTGTAACAAATCTGTGTATTTACACCAGTTTGACAACCTAGTGATTCATACCAACTCTCTCAACAACCACAGCTGCTCTGTCAAACAAAGTCACAGGAGCCAGCGGCTCTACGGGAGGACAGAGGGGCCATGAGGTGACGATATGGAGACCAGGCTGGTGTCCTGTTCCTAAATGGAAACAAGGGGCTGCAGCGCTGAAGAAGGAGGCGATGGCTGGTTCGTCTTATCTAGTGATCTGGCACTGCAGCAGCAGCAGTGGAAACATGTTGTTCACGAGGAGGAGGGAAATATCCTGTCCTCTCTGTTTCACATCCCTTTCCCCCCCTTCCTGCCACCTCTGTGCTTCCCCTTTCCTCCCCAGTGAAGTGTATCACTGAATGTATAGATGATATATATATATGATGACAAGCAGGTGTCACGCTGACTGAGTGTCCAGTAAATACAGTATGCCTGTGTGATGACGGTAACACACACACACACCAACCAGTAAACAGTTCATATCTGAACGCTCCTTTCCAATCACTACAATCTGCTCTCATGTTCTTGATCACTGGCAGAGGCTACACCAATCAAATGTCATCAATGAACTAGGCTTAATACAAATTGATCATTTTGATGCAATCTGCACACACACACACAACACACACACACACACTTGCAGCATGAAAGAACCAGCAGCACAGACACGGAGGAGACAGAGGGGGAGAGAAACGCCCTGCCTTGTTCCATGTCGAAACCCCGGCCCTGTGGGTAGTACACACACACACACACACACACACACACACACACACACACACACACACACACACACACACACACACCGTAAGCTTCTCTCTTCTGACCATGTAGAGGCCACATTTGGACAACAGCACTGGTTTCTGAGATTTTTTTTTCTCTTTGTTGGCCATCTGTGTGCTGGAGTTAAAGACGAGCAATCAAACACGCTGATCATGATGTTCCAGATAAGACTGCCATTATTGATGTATAATTGATGTATTATTGATCCGCCATGTCCGCACACTGACAATTAACCTTCATAAATGGTTAGTGAAATACAAAGGCGAGCGTGTGTGTACCCTTTACGCTTGATAGGAGAGGAGAGGAGGGGGAAAACAACATGCATTGAGTCAAGTCGAGGGAAGCCCAGCATGTAGTAAGAAAGGTTCTTGTGCACTAGATCGATCTATCGTTTTAACGCGTTAAAAAAAAGTTTTACCTTTAACTTGAGTTTCATATTCGGCCACTATCTCCTTGTCTTTTCGAAATTTCGCCGGAGACGTCATGGCTGAGTTCTGCAGATCAAACCACTCGCCCTCGTCGCGAAGTCAATGTTGTCTCAATCAATGAACTCGATCACTCAGTCGTGGAGGAAGAGGAGGGACGCGCCACTGTGGAAGAAGAGGTCGGGAGAAGGAAGTAGAAGTGAGCGGGTCCAGATGAGAGGTCGCAGCTCCTCAGTGAGCCCGCGGATCGGTATTGTCTCCCCCCTGCCTCTGCTCTGCTCACTCCGGGCGCATTGTGAGTTTGGCGCTGCTGCTGACTGCTCCCATCGGCTGCTGCTGCTGCTGCCTGCCGCGCCTCACCGCCTCCTCAAAACCGGTTATGGTGCAAACAACTTCCAAGTAGAGGCAGATTCATTCCCCCTCAAACACAACCAGCGATCGCCTGCAAGGCCGCACTCCCTCGCGTTTTTTGGGGTTGAAACGCACACATGTGGGTATAAAATCTGCCTCGGACGTGTTGGTCTCGCAGCTGCCTGTCCAAACTAAACTGCTCCCCCCCTCTCCTGAAGTGAGAGAGAGGAGGAACCGAGTGGAGATGGAGGGGTTGGCTGTTGGTCAGAGCCCCAGTGCGCAGGACAGGCCTGGATGCACACATGGAGGGGGACTACACACATCAGCTGCAGACACAAGCCTTCAGCTGCAATGGAGGTTTAACAGCACTTTTTAAAAATACACTCAGACACTTACAACTCATCCAGACATCCAGCTGCAAGAGTTTTAGCCAAATCTCTAAAGTGTTAATCTCATAACACACATAATAGTCCACTGCGAGACCCCTGAGATCACGGGGGAGTGGTCTGCTCGTGGTACCCATCTGGCTTTAACTTAGCTATTATACAGGGTCATAGCATCATTTATCATTCATCCTTTTCAATTCATTTACCTCTTTAAAGCTTATTTTGATCTCTTTTTTATGGTAAATTGTTTTTTAACTCTGTCTTCTGATTTCAAATTGTAACTTTGTCTCTATCTAGTTTTTTATTTCCATTAACTGCAACTCAGTGTATCATCATTGCAAGTGGGATGAAAGTTCAGTTGCGATATAGTTGATATAACGGATATAATTTATATCAGGGTAGGGAGGTAAGCAGGGAGACATGGGTTCAACATGAGCTAACATCACACAAGTTGTATGTCAGTAATATTAATGCTGACAGGAGTTTAATTGTCGCATGTGTCCTCCTGCTCACTTTAAGTTACTATACAACTGAAAATGAACTGAGCAAAAACCCCAAATCATCCCAACAGATATTAATTACTCCCCCAAAATCTAACCTTAGCTTTAGCTTGTTAGCAAATAGTTCTATAACAATCTACAGCCTGGGTGTATACGCACAAGTAAGGACTGAACTTACTCATTTTTGCATTAAAAATAAAAGGGAGTAATTAAAACCGTGTATTTACAAAGTATTCCTCCTCCTAATAATCAAATATCATATTTTCCAACATGACAAACCCACGTCACTGCACAAGAGCTCTACTTCCCACACCATGATTCGTGTAGCGAAACTCGACTGACAAAGCACACAACCAATCAGCTTTCAGAAAGTTTGAATGTAGGCGTATCTTTTCCATTTCTAACCAATCACCTTTAGACTTTTTCAATAAACTCGTCCAATGGCGTCAGTTACTGTGGAGTTGTATCCAATCAAAGTCAAGTCAGGGGTCTTTTAAAGATAGTTTGAGGAAGTGGGTTTACATACCAGGAAGTTGTAAACAAAGCTGACAGCGGTTCAGTTGTTAGCCGCAGCTCAATGGTTGTCGAGCCTGTTGAGTTCAACTGTTTATTCGCTGGTGAATCTTCAACCAACCGGTTTCATCTTTTTACACATTTCTCCGAGCGTTTGTTCAAGAGCGAATCGGAGTCGCCTTCTGTTTTCTCCTTCGGGAAACGCGAACGTTAGCACAAGGACGTTGGAGCTAGCCCGAGGAGTTAACGTCAGATCGATCATTGTTATCGCACATCGAACGGACAGGGAGCACCGTCGGTGCCGGATCGTGTGTTGTTGTTGTCTTCCCTCTGTGTCGGCTGTGTGGGGCGGACAGAGCAAGAGAGCTCGTCCATTTTTTTTTGCAGGACAACAATGTCGACGTCCAACGCGAATTTCAAAAACAAGTGTGTGACCCAGGTGAACTGCGTCTTCTGCGACAGCCTGCTCTGCACCAGGGGCATGAAAGCGGTGCTGCTTGCAGACACGGAAGTGGAGCTTTTTTCAACCGATATACCCCCCAATAGGTGAGTGCTAATGTAGTTAGCATCGCTTCCAACCAGGCTTTGTTTATGTATGCAGCAGCAGCAGCCGGGGTGAGATGCGCTAGGCAAAACTGCAACCGATACACTCGGAATTCTCATTTAAACGGTGATCAACAAGGTTTGTGTCGTGTGGCGTTGTGTTTTTAATCTTTCATGGCCATGTTTGTCTCTCATTACACGCCCCCTCTCCCTTCCCCTCCCTTCCCCTCCAAGAACTGTTGACTTTGTGGCCAGCTGCTACTCGACTGAAAGCTGCAAATGCAAGCTGAGGGACATCGCCTGTCTGAAGTGGTATGTAAAGCTCTTGTACTGTAAACCATGCAAGGTTTGCTTTAGGGAGAGCATCTGCTGATGTGCTGAGTAAATAACAAGCACAACCACAACTGTTAGCACAGCAAACAAGCAGGTCTGCACTGTAACACTGTGGTGGTTTTTACACTATACACCTGTACACCTGCAACTATCTAGTACTTCCATTGTTTATTTATGTGATCATTATCATCTTGATTAATCTATTGGTCTGCAAAGTGAAGAAATCTTTATGTGTGCTTTTGTTTGAGGAACAGTCCAGAGATATGAAAGATTCAGGCTTTAGTTCAGATATTAACCCAAAGCTTGGGTTTACATCCAGGCTCCTCTTTTGTTTTCCCAGGCCTTTGTTGTTGTATACAGGGTCCAAAAAAACAAATATGTTAGATAATAGACACCCACTAGTGGAGTTAGCACTTTTCACAAGTGCCCCCAGTAAAGTGCTGACAAACATTTCCTCTTTATTCTCGCTCCCTCTCCCAGTGGTAATGTTGTGGGCTATCACGTTGTTGCCCCCTGTAAACCCTGCCTGCTCTCCTGTAACAACGGCCATTTCTGGATGTTCAACAGTGACGCCGTTTCAACTCTCAACAGACTGGATGCAACAGGTTAGCACCAGCCCCCTTTTGATTAAAACTGGAATTCCTGTCTATTAAATTGTGTTTTTAAAAAAAGCCTCTGTCACCTTTCAATTTGTCTTCAGGCCTGAATCTGCTCCTGTGGGGAGACCTTCCTGAGCTGGATGACAGCGAGAATGAAGAATCAGAAACCCCATCAGAGGAGGAGTGCATTAGGTAGGGAGGGAAATGGACAATGTGAGAGACCAAGACGGCCAACATTTTTAGATGGAGCTTCACGAGTGTGAGACAGAAAAGAGAAGCCTCAAAGGGTCATTGTTCACTGAATAACATAGGGCAGGAAAGGTGCTGCTGTGCTCCTCTGTATGGGTTAAAATATGAGACCATGCTGCACCTCTGTCCTCACCCCAAACAACAATATCACAGCAGGTGTTTTGCCTTTGCTGCTTGTGGAGAACACCTGCTTTGACATCACTGATCGAGGTGTGGGCATAAACACAGCATTCTTGGCAGTTTGAGGAGTTAGACATTTTTGGCCCTATGTAATTGAGTGGCAAATTACCCTTTAACCTATGACCACGCCTTTTCCATCATTGGTCACTGTAAAAGCACAGACACACACACTTTCACACTCACATTCTCTCTCTCTCTCTTGAATATTGCGTGAGCTATCCTAAAGCAAGTGGCCAAAGTAGACTGAAAATAACACACACCTTGAGAACTTTAATCTGGTGTGTTCTACTTTTCATTAGTCTCCACTGGGATCACGGTTTTGATCGGCCTCCTGAGAAGTGTGGTATAAATCAGTGGAACTTACTGTGCCAGTGAATGCAGTGCTTTTTCCCGTTTACGTGAAGTCCACTTTTCTGATAAAATGACCACACTTCGCTTGCCTTCCTCTTAACAGCACATCTACAGTAATCTGCACATTGAATATGCTGTGATAAGCATTTAATCCCATTAACAGTCAAGGCTTACATTTTCTTTGTGTGTCTGGGTGCTGAGATGAGTTTAAGTGCTTTTTTAAATCTAAAAATGTATTGGGGAAATAGCACAATTATTGAATGAAATGGGTGTATATATATATACATATATATATATGAGTTTAAGGGTGTATTTAATTTAAATCACCTTACAATCTGATATAGTATAAAATGTTACACCTGACAGCAGCAGTATGTGTTTAACACCAAGATGAATTTTGACGGTAGTGGTGTCCGATACTAACATATAGCTTATGCATAATGTGTGCTTCCACAGCAGTCCAAGTTGTACTTTTGTGTTTTTTTTACTTCAAATAAGGCAAAAAAAATAGTGTAAACTAGAATGCAAATCAACAAAAAATGATTGGTTCTAAAAGATTTGTGTCCACAATATTTTTTCATTCCACCCACTATTTTATGTAGCAGCACAACTGTAGCATCTGAAGAGAAGAAAAAAATAAAACTCCAAAGAATCATAAAACATATCAATATTGAACCCTCAGACTAGCTATCCATATTAGAAGATAGTTATGACATTTTCAAAAACAGTATTTCACTTTTTTTCATTTGTGTAGTGAAGTTAAAGCCAGTGCATTTGGCTACTAATCTCTTAACGCTCAGTATTCCATTGGCCTTACTGATGCTGTGATTGCTGACAAAGTACCTTTGTTAAAGCTGCAGACTTGGGGTCGATGTTGCACGTTAGTTGGTCATCACTAAATGACCGGGCCTTTCTTGTCAGCCTGTTGTGCCAGACACAAGCCTCAGCATCCTCCAGTCACAAGGGACGCAACTCAAATCGATCCATTTTTGGCAGTGCCATCCTCGAGCTCTTGTTATTGTTTCACTGCTGTGCCCTGCTATGATGCTACGATCCTGTCTTAAAGTAACAGTTGTTTCTGTGAGTGAATGAATTATACGTATGGTTGGGATATGTTGTTGAAGAAGCAAACATAGAATGTCACTTCTAACGTAAAGGATAAAGGAAGTGGTTTCTTTTTTAAATCTATAATTATGTTTATAGCTATAGCATTTAGTTGCGGAAAAAAACACACAGACTACGAACATTTTGTCCAGAATTTCTCGTCATTAACAAGTTCTAACTGACAGTGCTATACTTGTACACCAAATACTGTCTAATGTGGTAAACTTATAGGATACATTACATCAAATAGCTATTTATTAAGTCTGCAAACCAAATATCTGTAATGTCATTCACCCCTTTTTTGTTTACAGACTTTGTTTACAAATTATTTGTATTGTGCTGTAGTACTTATGTTTTTGTTCACGTATTTAATATTTCATTTGTGACGTAGTGCTTTGTTTTCTGTTTATAATATGGGACGTGTACAGTTTTACCTCAAGCAGGTATACTTGCAAGCTTCCTCTGGCTAGGACAAATGTCAAATGATAATCAAAAGAATTATTTAAATGGCTGTTTCTGATGTGAATAAGTAAGATTAACATGCCCTGCTGAAAATGTATATTTTGGAATTGCACTGAAACTGCATTGGTAGTTTGAAGAAATGATTTGTTGTTTTTGTATGCCTGTTAACTTAATAAACTTTTTTTTTTTTCAAAATATCTTAAATTCCATGTAGTTCTGTTCTGGGTTTTTTCTTTCCTGCTGATCATCCTCTGTCCCTCAGTTATGTTATTTTAGACTCAAACTGCACAACAGAATGTCAAGGAAAAGTTCTCACAAATTACTTTTGTTTCTTTCACACTTAAACTGTACTACACACAAGATCCTGTTGTGTGAACTAGACAAAAATGAAAAAAATGCTCTGAACATTGCTGTCATGAAGCGGTATCTTGTGCTTGGTTTTCCAAATCCAACACCATAAACACATGATCCCAAGTTCTCTCTCAATTCACACTGCACAAACGACTGCCAGGATTGATGATGAGCTTATCAAATAGCCCACTCAGTTTTAATTATAGCTGCAAGTCATAAGTTGGTGTCAGGGGGCTTCACAATTTGCATTTTCATGCTGGATAAGGAAAAACAGAAGATTCACAGGAGGAGCAGAAATTGAGAAACCTTTTCTAGGATGGATGCAACTGCTGCCATGTGAGTTTTGAAGTATTAAACAAAGGAGTGAGGTATGATATAAACATTTTAAATGTAATTAATATATTTATGATTGTGTGAAACGTCCTCCCACCAGCACTTTATTTGCAACCAATGTTAAACAGCTCTGAAACCCTGAAACCCTGAAATACCCCAGAATCATAGCAGCCATTTCACTCCAGTGTCTGTTGAACTTGGTATTTGGAAGAAATATGTTCACAGATTTCTTTTCATGTTTCTTTTTTCACATATTACTGTACATAGTAAATTCAAAGAAATTGATAATATTGCAGTGGTCTCTTATTTTTTTCCAAAGCTTTGTACTTATATTTAATTAGTGGATATAATGATTCCACACATAATTATTTGGAATTTGTTCTTTTTATTAACAGCTTTCGCCCTGAGGAGACCAACATTTTAGTTGAGTATTTATGTGCCTTCCCATATTTATACACAGGTTATGGATGTGTCTTTTATTTTGAAGGTGAGCTGTAATCTCAGCAATTCTTTGGATGGACTGAAAATTCATCAGAAGGGCTTGGAGTTTGCTCTAACCTGCAATCTGTGATCCAGAAATGTGAAAGTGTCACCTCATCATGTTCTCTTCAGAAGTTAATATGTGGTGGTGAACCTGCTCCTGTACAACAAGGAAAGGAAAACTGGTTCAGTGTTTTGGAAGGATCTGAATGAGGTTTAATGATTTGTTCTTGGGTGCCTCCCTCTGAAGAATTCACTGCTGCTGTTAGAACATGTACAAGATAATTTAAGTAGAGATGGCAAGAAAAATCTGAAACAAATATTTGCGGCATGCTCTGTTTTCACATGTTTCTTAAGCGTCCGCCCAAATTACAAACCTTGCGTGCAAACTCAGAAATAGCTACATGAGAGCATTTTTAAAACCATTTCACTACCTTTATCAACCTGTTTGTGGTGCAACTCAACAGAAAGACAAAGGTCAGGGACGGAAAAAAAACAAGTTTGGATGTCCTTTCAGTTTCAAGATTTAATTCTGCTTCAAACATGAGTTACTCCTGTGATGGGAAACGTTATTCTTGAGAATTGTCGCCTTAACTGTCAATGCCCTCAAGCCAGTGATCAACAGGAGAAGACTTGTTGATCCTGTGTGTGTGTGCACGCCTGCCTCCCTCAGACAAATAAAGGATCAATCAAATCTAATATGCTGCGTCTTTGCCTCAGTGGCTGCCGAACTGGTTAACAAGGTGGAGACTGAGTCTATAGAACAACGTGCTAACACATGTCCAGCAGATCTCGTCCTGTCAAACCTGTGTGTTACATAAAAAAACTATGCAGAGAAACATGACCTACTTGCTACATAGGGGTCAAATAAAGAACGAGATGTGTTGACACAGCATCGTCTTAAAGGTCCAGTGTGTACGATTTAGGTGAAAGGGAACTATTGGCAGAAATGTAATGTAGAATAATTCTCATGATGTTTTCACTAGTTTCATCTAAATTGTATGAATTGTAGTTTTCTTTACCCCAGAAAAGTCCCTTTATATTTAAATACTTTATATTTACATGGAGGGGGTCCTCTCTACGGAGGCCACCATGTTTTTTACATTAGTCCAGACTGGACAAACTAAACACCTTTTGAGTTTTTATGACAACTGAAGCTACCACAGGTTCTTTCTCATGTTTGGAGGGTGAGGGGAGGGGTGTTCAGCTGCTTTGAGGGGTGTTCAGCTGCAACATGCAATTTCTACACTAGATATCACAAACATCTACACACTGAACCTTTAACATGCACAAAACCTGAATCAAAGCATATTCAGTGTGGATGCTGCATCATCAATGAGATTATTGTATGTTTTTTATATTGTATGAGTCAATGGACTTTATAAGATTAAATAGGATTTGGGGCCTTTATCACAGCTTTGTTTTTTTTTTATTATCCACCAAGGAGATTATTTTCCTTCAGTCTTTGTTTGTTTGCGGAATTATACTAAAACTACTTAAGTGTTTTCCATGAAACTTGTTGGAAGGATACTGTGTTTTTATGCAGGGACTGTTGGGCCTTCGTGGAAGTATGTGCCAATTATTATAATACAATACATGTAGTTTAATTCTTAATACTTCTAAAACCTGTTGAAACTAAAGCCTAAGTGCTGAATATTTTTTGACGAAATCCATTTAAAGGGTTTCAGAAAGAGTTGGCAAATGCTGGATAATCAAAGCAAGAATTGTAACCACTATATATTTCTCTCCATTCGATTGACTTTATTTCCTGTGTTCAAGGCTGAAAACGGCTTGTTTGTGGTTTCTTTAATACCAGCAATGTTATAAAAAAACATCCCAAAAGAATCAAACTGATTATCAGGCCTGCTAATATCAAAGGTTGTCTGTTCTTGAGTCGCAGGGATCGGCTTTGAGCTGAGAAGGACAGCAGGCAGACAGGTATGGAGATAATACAGCAGCTGTCTGACGGAGATGTGTGTAAGTGGTGGACAGGTGTGTGGGACGTGTAGCAGCTAAGTGGGCGGGTGCACAACTGTTGAACGTAAACAGCTGTCAGGTGAGTGGACACAGTAAACACACAGGTGGACTCTGCTGTCTGTGGGAGCAGTCAACTCAACAAAGCCTCATCACTTTTTGATGACTGAAAGTTAAACTCACAGATTTGCATGAATAAAGTATATCCAGCCTCAATCGCCATTCGGTTTTTCAACATTTTCATTCATTTCTCCGAAAATAATTCATGAATCTTGATTTTTTTTAAACAGATGACTGCTATTTATGTGCAAGGGGACTATTGGGCCTTGGCGGAGGTATGTGCTCTCTGAGTGCTGCTCTAGTTTGTCAGCTGGTTGATTTCTCAGCAGAGTTACACAAAATAGGGGATGAGGCCTAGGCCTGAAAAGAACCCATTCAATTATAATGTAGATGCAGATTCAGCATTTCTTTCTCTTTCTTTAACAATGCAACATTTTCATTGGTTTCTTATGGAATAATGCACAGATCTTCATTTGAAACATTAGGCATATATAGTGGGCTGATATTTGTAAGGGTGTAAAATTTGGTATGTATTGTTATGTGTATTTTGTTGTAGTTGTAGTTGACATAATTTCTCCTGAGCAGTTAAGACTACTTCGTGTTCTTTTAAATTTCATTTAATCAATCAACAATGTGTACGATAGTTGGAAGGAGGCCTTGAAGGAGGTGTTTTCTGTACTGGATGCCATGCTAGGTTTATCACATCTTTGTCATGGCAGCGTTGTGACTTATCAAGCAGCACTGATGCAAATAATGATATCAATAAACATTCATTGTCCGTGTATTAAGATAAGATTGAATAAAATAATCCTCTATTAGTCACACTATGGGGTAATACACTGTGTATTCATAGTATTAAAGTTATTCATTCCGTGTTTTCCTGCCATGACATGTTAAAAAGTCTGATGTGAGATGTGATATTTACTGCATCTGGTATAAATAAAACAAAGAGAACATATTACTTAATCAAAAACATAAATTAAACATAATTCAATTCAACATTATTTCTACTTATAGAAAAAAACATTTCCTCTGGTACTTCATCGTCAAATTGATACAAAGCCACTAATATGAGATGAACTTTTAAAGACTCTTGAGACGTAAGTAAAAACAGGTTTTGGAGAATAAACAAAACCATTTTGAAAGACTCCTCAGAGGCTCAGCACATCAACCTCAAGTGTTTTCAATCCCCACTGAGTAGAACTCTGTCTCTCCTCAGACTGAAGTCGTGGAGACATGGATTTGTGCTAGAATTACATTAGACCGTTTACTTACAAGAAAGATGACGTGTCATTTACAGGTTTAACAAAACTAACTGCAGTGAGGAAGATATGAATGAAACTTGTCTAATATCTGTAACTTGATTGATAGTTAATGATTAGTCAGACGTACAGTATTAAATTGTGCAACATAACACTGGAGTCCTGTAACAAGTACACTCCAATATCTCCACATGCTCAGGTGGAAAATCTCACTCTAGAGCTCTCTGCTGGATGTGAGGTGCAATGACACACACAGGAAAGAACAGCACAAACTACCCACTATTCTTTGTATTTTGTTATCAGTAATATATCATAAACAATGTGTAGCATTGCAGATGATAAACATGCTTACTCTAATCATGTAACACATATAGGCCTATTTTAGGCATAGATTCATTTGTCAGTCAATTTATTCTTTTCCAAATATGGGTATAATGAAAATAGACTGGGCTTTCATCAGATTACATCAGCCGTTCCTGTATCGATTACTATTATTTTATTCTGATTAGTGTGTAATGGATGTGCATTAATCTGTTGTCCTCCTCAGAGACTAATCACAGGAGTAAACAGCTGATCTATAACACACATGCAGCTCTTTCAGCTTCCTGTCATTCCCATGATGATCTGTGAGGAGAAAAATGACGAGACCCTGATATATTCTGATCAAATGTGTGAATTCAACAATTTCAGCCCTCAATTTTCTTTACTTCAGGCCTCATGGCCTCCGGTTG